CAATCCATACCCTACTGCCACTTTTGATCCTCTTCAGTTGCAATTTCTTTCTTTTGCCATTGACATANCAAGAAGTGGTTAAAACATGGGTAAAGTAACATCAACACATATCGAAATATGCCAAACATCACAATACTTATTCCACATGAAATTAGACCACAAAGATTTTTTGGTCCTAAACCTCCACCATAGTTTAGCAAACAGTGCCTTTGAGACATCATTTAAGGACCTAAAACCTAGCCCCCCTTCCTATTTAGGAAGGCAAAGTTTTTGCCATAAAGCCCAGTGTCTGCTTCTCCCTTCTTCCTTTGTGCTCCAAAAGAACCTAGCAAAAGTCTTATGTAGATGCCCCAGGATGCTGTTTGGTGGATCAAGGACTGATAACATGTGAACTGGCATACTTTGCAAAACACTAGAGATGAGTGTTTCCTTTCCTCCAAATGACAGCAGTTTTCCTTTCCATGAATGCAACTTAGCCTTCACCTTCTTGATATGATCCTCATAATAGTCCTTCCTCCTTCTAGTGTAAAAAATAGGACACCCTAGATATGTGAAGGGGAATTTACCTCTTGCAAATCCTGTAATAGCTCCAACTGCCTGAAACAATCCATTAGCAACCTTTGAATACATGTAGTATGAACTCTTATCTTTGTTGATCATCTGACCTGATATCTTCTCATAGTTCCCCAACACTGCCATAATCATGCTCAAAGAGGGAGGATGAGCAGTTGTAAATATTATCGTATCATCAGCATATGCCAAGTGGTTTAAAGAATCAGACCACTTAGGCATTCAAAATCCCACAAATGACTTGTCTTCAAAAAGCTTATTCAAAGACCTGGAAAGTACCTCAGCTGACAGAATGAACAATGCTGGAGATAGGGGATCCCCTTGTTTCACACCCCTTGTCAACTTAAAGAACCCTGAGGACTGCCCATTCACCAGTACTGAATACCAGTTATTTGACATCAAGTTCCACACCATGTTGATGAAGTGTTCAGAAAATCCAATCTTCCTTAGCATATGCAATAAGTACTTCCATGAGACCCTATCATAGGCCTTAGCCATATCAAGCTTGATCACCACATTAGCTGGCTTTCCCCTTAACCTTATGTCAGTGACAATTTCTTGAGTCAATAAGATGTTCTCAAATATACTCCTACCCTTTACAAATCCGGATTGATTAGGAGCTATTAGAGATGGCAAAAAACTCTCCAATCTGTCATGTAACACCCTAGACAAAACCTTGTTAATGAAGTTGCTCAAACTAATAGGTCTTAAGTCAGAGAAGGTCTCAACTCTAGGTTTCTTGGGCAGCAACACTAGATTGGTGTGAGTGATGGATTTAGGCAATGCAACTGTAGCACCATGTTGTGTAAATCAGCACCAATAACATCCCAGCATGTTTGATAAAACAAGCCAGTGAATCCATCAGGGCCACTAGCACTCTCCCCACTAAGCTCAAAAACTGCTGCCCTTACTTCTTCAATTGTTGGCAATCTGCTAAGTTCCAAATTCTGATCCATAGTGACCATTGAAGGTACATTATTGAGCAAGGGAAATTCAGAAGCATCACCTTCATTTGTGAACTGTTTTTGATAGAAGTCCACTGCAGCTGTAGCCAATTGCTCCTGGTCTTCAATCCATACCCCACTGCCACTTTTGATCCTCTTCAGTTGCAATTTCTTTCTTTTGCCATTGACATGGTTGTGAAAGAAACTTGTATTCCTATCTCCTTCAGCAAACCAATTCATCCCAGCTTTTTGCTTCCAATACTGCTCCTCAATATTCAAGTATTTCTTCAATTCAGATTGAGCCTTTTGAAGCACAATCCTATTCTCAGTTGTAGGCTCTTCTTCAAACAACATCTCCTTCACCCTAACAATGTCCTCCAAAATAGCCAATTGCTTGAAGATATCACCAAATGTTTCCCTATTCCATTTTGAGAGTGCTGCCTTCACCCTCTTGATATTCTGCTTGAACATCAAAAACTGATCCCCTATGAAATCAGCTTCCCAATTTTGCCTCACCACATCCATAAATGTAGCATGCTTTGTCCAAAAGTTCAAGAATCTGAAAGTCTTGACAAAATTGGTTGTCTGCACCCCACATGTCATTAGCAATGGTGCATGATCTGATCCAGATCTGATTAGATGCTCAACTTCAATAGTTGGCAACATGTTCTGAAATGGTAAATTCACAAAAATCCTATCCAATCTCTTGAATATACACTCAGCATTGGATCTCCCATTCCACCATATGAGTGGACTTCCTTTGTACCCTTGCTCAAACAAACCACAAGAGTTTACACAAAATGCAAAATCCTCATATTTAGGAGGGTGTATTGGAAGTCCCCCTATTTTCTCATCTTCATGAAATATCACATTGAAATCCCTTCCTACCAACCATGGTAATTCCATATCACTTGCTAAATAATACAAGTGATCCCACAAATCCAACCTCTCTATTGCTGAACATTTTGCATAAACAAATGTCATCATCATGTGCTGCCCCAGGTCATGGTGAAACACTCTCACAGTCACCTGTTGTTCAATATCCTCCACTAATTCCCATTCCACCACTGCATCGAAGAACAACCATATTTGCCCATTAATATTTGTATAAGCAGACTCCATATTCAACCTCTTTTTATATCTATCAATGAGTCCCTTATTTTGAAAAGGCTCCATCAATGCAACTACACAAAAATTATGCTCCCTATTCATATTTATCACCCTAGGAAAGGCCTGTTGTGTATTCACAGACCTTATGTTCCATATTAATGTTTTGATCATCATCTAGATTAGAGAAGCTGCCCTCCTGGCATTATTCTTGAAGGTTGTGGTGGATCTTTACTCTGATTCTTCTTAGTTTTTTACCTCGTTTAGCACTAGTTGTGGGTGATAAATCCCCTTCCCTAGCCACTTGTTTGAAGTTTTCGACAGCTGGTTCATCATCTCCTTCATCCTCCATTGGATTTTGTCTCAATAAGTCTTCATCAATTGGTGTCACATTATGTGTAACTAAATCATGTAAATGTTGTAGAGGAGTCTTAGTTAGAACATTAAGATGTAGTTGCATGGTTTGATATGTGCCAGATTCCATAGGCACTTCCTCTATTTCCCCATATGCTCTTGGAACAATTGCCCGCTTATAAGCATGTTCATACTCCTTGAATTGTAGCTCATGGACATACGCCGGAACACCATCTACATAGGCCAAAATCGCTCCAGTGGCTCTAAGGTTGGGGTTTATTGTAGCTGCCTCATCAGGTGAACCTGGCTTTAGGCCTGGCGTCGCCCGCCTAACATCTGGGGAGCCTGGCTTTAGGCCTGGCATCGCCAGCCTATCGCCAGGTGAGCCTGGCTTTAGGCCTGGCATCGCCAGCCTATCGCCAGGTGAGCCTGGCTTTAGGCCTGGCATTGCCAGCCTATTGCCCGGTGAGCCTGGCTTTAGGTCTGGCGTCGCCAGCCTATCGCTAGGTGAGCTTGGATTGTTGTCCTTCTTCACCTTGTCTTCTATTGTCTTTATTTTGCCCAGCTGATCATTCTTAACCTCAACTGCATTGCTCCATAAGACCTTTGTAGAGTTTACCTCATCAAGATCCTCCATCTGCCTAGAATCTTTAAAAGTTTGAGATAGAATCGCATGACAAGATTGGTTTGTGGTCACATTGAGTTGTTTTAGCTCCTCTTTGCTAGTCCCAAACCTTCTATGAACCCAGTCGATTGTGGACTGAATCCCTGAAGGAGTAGGATCATCTTTAGAACTGAAGACTGTTTTTTCCCCCACCAAAACCAGTTGGTTGTTCTCGTTTATATCACTTTGTTCCTCCTCTAATACTGCAAATATATTCCTTATTTGAACCTTGTTTGTCTTATCTTCTTCGACCTCCATCAGTGCAAAGTTATTGTGCACCTGCTGTACACCAGCATTCACTGGCACGATTGCATTGCCAGTTTGCCCTTGTACTTGGGTTTTGTTATTTTTGTTGGTTCCCCGATTATCTCGAACTTCCTTCCACTGTGCACCTATGTTCCCGACTACTTTTCCACTCGTGAGAATCATTAAAGGGGTAATGTAATTTTTGGTTTTTCCTTGTTCATCAGCAACAGAATTCCAGTTGTTCAACTCAGCAAGATCATTCCTTTTCTTGCTGCTTCGGTTCTCAATAAGCTCGGGGTGCAAACGCCAACATTCAATTTCATCATATCCTTGTAGTTTATACTCCTTACAATATTTTGGTAGCATGTCATACTGAATTCTCACCCATTCTGTTCGAACACCACCAGAAGCTTCGTCATCAATATCCAATCGCACCTTTTTAGGTAGTTCGGCCAACAAATCGATAAGAACTTTTACTCTTGCACAACTCGGCCTAGTTTTGTTTGTAGTTGCCACGTCAAGACACACTGGCCTTCCCATAGCTGTAGCCAAAGAAAACAGAGTTTCCTTTACAAAAAAGGTAGGCAGCAGTCCAGGAAAAGAAATCTACGCCATCGCCATCGGAGTTTCTTCACCCGCCTTAAATTTTGCATTGTAGATAAGAGTACGCAATTGGTATTCGTACCCATCTTTGGCTTTGATGTAGAACGTATTCTTCGATGTGAAATTGAGGAAATCTTGCCATAGAGTTAATCTAATTAACACATGACGATCTCTAAGGAATCCGATATTACACTCACCTTTGATACCACATTGAGTTGGAATTATTCGGTGAAGCTCGTGAATCTCCGGAGAACCATATGAAAGCTTGCCAATGACAACATATTGGAGGCCTTCAATCATGTTCATTCTTAGAGTAATCTTAGATTTAAATATATAAAAAATTATTTAACAAGTATAAAAGCATTCATCCCAAAGCTAGCATAAATTATAAAGCCACCCTAAAAATAAAAAGAAATATTTATATATTAGGAGAGTTCAATAATATAATCTCAAATTCTAAGTATTAGGTTTAAAATAAGTAAGGTTATTTTGATATATACCATGTTGTGTTAAGGGTATTGTTGATAAGAACGAAAGTCAAAACTGTTTCTGCTTCTGCTTCCGGGGAGAAGCTACTTTTTTCTGCTCTCTAAAATTGCTTCTGCTTCTTTCCAAAAGTACTTTTTTCCCCACAAAAGCTTAGCCAACCACCTCAAGTTGAGAAAAAAATGCTTTTTGAGAAAAAAAAAAGAAGCGCTTTTAGGGTGGGAAGATTCTTGGCCAAACAACTTCCCAAAGCTAAAGAAACAAATTGTCAAATAACGTCGGCAAAAACCCTAAACAAAAAATTCTCTCTTTAATGACCAGTGAATAGTGCCAAACAGTACCGTGAACAGTGACTTCATCACTGTTCATCGCGGACAAGCTAGAGCTTTAGGCTTCAATGACCATAATGGCCGGCGACCAGCCGGATTTTCCGGCTGGTCTGCCCTCCCCCAGTGTTGCACAACAACATAAAACAACTAACGCCAACCCTCCAGCGATGAAGGCCTCCAATATTCTAAGATTTGTACCCCACAAGTGGTAGTTCCAAATGCGATTTAGTGGCCGCAAAAGCGGATTCACAAGCAGATTTGTATATATTCGAAGGGTTGGTTCATTTGATCACATTTTGGGATTTAAAGCTTGGTTTTGAGTGATTTTTGAGAGAATTTTCACCCATGGATTGTTGTAAGTATTTTTGACTCAATTTTGATTATTCTACATATTTTCATCTTCGATTTTGGTAGTTGTACTCATACTACACTTCTACACTTTGCGTGCAGATCTTCGAGCTGATGTTGTTGTATCTGGCGGGCGCTGACATTAAAGATGTAACCATTGTCCGATTATGGCTACCATTTGTCCTTGGTAGTTTCAGAATTGAGTTTTGTTTGTTTATATTTCATACAGATGTTGTATTTATGTTCATACCATCTTTGTAAATCTATGTCTTAGTACACTACTAGAAAACTGCCTAAAACCGTCCAGAAATACCGACCGGAATCGGTCGAAAAACTGGAAAAATCGACCGACTTTAATTAGTCGAGATTAGGCTGGTCAGTAATAAATAACGACCGAAATCGGTCATAATTTCCTACCGTTTTCGGTCGGTTAATAAAATTTCACAAGTGACCAAAAAGAAGAAAAAAAATGCACCGTGTGTGAATCATACCGGGGTCTATACTATGGCAGGATACTATTCTACCACTAGACCATTGATACATTTTGGTTTAAGACTATCTTTTATTCTATTTGTACTCTTTAATTACATTTTTGCACGAAAATAACCAGCTGATTTCGGTCGATTTTATTAAAAATAAAAAATTGCCTACCGAAATCGATTGATTTTTTAAAAGGAGAAATAACCGACAAAAGTTGGTCAGTTTCTTAAGAAAAAAAAAATCCTCTGGACGCCAAAATAGTTTCTCGCATTTTTGCGCCAAACAAAAACCGACCGAAGTTGGTCGGTTTTGTTAAAAAAAACTAAAAAAATAATATATTTTTAAATACCGACCGACTTCGGTCGGTTTTTTGACCAACCTAAGTCGGTCAGTTTGCCGCGGTCGGTTTTGGCCGAATTTCTTGTAGTGGTAGCTCATAACTTTGTACTACCAATCCTTGGGATTTTGTATAGAAGTTCTGTTATTTTACTCTCTTAGCTCTTACTATTCTCATTTTAGTTATGTTGAATGTTATTTGGCTTATCTAGTGAGTTGAATTAGGTGTTATCATGACTAGATGAATTTTGGTGGGTGACAAGATCTTACATACTAGGAAATACATTTTATAGGAAAAATCAACTTACACCTAATATATGGCTCAAGCTGACACTTAGAAATTTCATATAATTTATTC